CCCTGCTCCGCTGCCTCCCTGCACGATCTGTGGAGGAAGCTGGGGACCATAGGACCGTCTGACCCTCGAGCACAAACCGGGGCCTGGGCTACACACAGGGGAGGGGCCCAGGAGCAAAAGGTGTGTGGTGACCCTGTTGGATACTCATAAAATAGTCACATTCTTCCAAAAAGATAACGCAAGAGTGTTCATTACATAGGCTGGCCCGATTCCTGCTGGTGACAAGAGTCCATGAGTCATTTCCTGGGAGTTTTTATGGCAACAATGTACAAATACCCTCTGGTCTGTAATGGTACCTGTGACTACTGAGCAATCCTGTGAGGAGCGGTGGAAAGAACCCTGGACAGGACTGGGAATCAGAGGCTCATTGTTAATAGTTTCCCAGGTCCTCTGTTTGAGTACGAGACCTTCTGTTCACAGCCTGGACCAGGAAGTGTTTTCCTCCAGCCTTTCCTACCATCCATCCACTCTGTACTCTCCGGCTTTCACCCTTCCCCCAAACCCCATACACTCCTCCTTTCCCATTACAGAGCAACACACTCTCCCTAGAATACATGCACTCCCTCTAGCTGTTTCCTCAGTTCTACACGGCAAACTCCTACTCATTTGCCAAGTCCCACATCAAACCTCCTCTTCCAGGAAGCATTCCCAGACTACCCCCGTCACAATCAGTCATTTGCTTTTCTATACTCCTGCAGACCAATGTACAGACCTCTCTCTTAGCTCTTAAGATATTAATGATAATAAGGGCTAAATGTTTACTGATCACTTATCAGAATGCTGGACAGCCTTCTACACTTTACAAAGGTTACCTTATTTAACCCTCATGGTAACTCCATGAAGTAGCTACTCTTATTATCCTCATTTTACAGAGAATGCTACTAAGGACCAGAGATATTAAGTAACTTGCCCAAGGCCACAGAGCTATTAGATACTTAGACAAATGCCTGGCACATAGTAGTTGCTCAATAACTATTCACCTGATGAATGATTAATAAGTAAATACAGAAATAATTACATATCTGTCTTTACAGAAAGCTCAAGTCAGAACCACATCTTATTCATCTTTCAAACTATCCTCTCTGTCAAATGCCTGGTAAGGTGTACGGCACTGGAAACACCTGCTAATGAGCAAATAAAAGAATATAAGAGCAAACCAGTAAATAGAGTTCAAATCCCAGTAATGCCACTATCTTCAGCTTTCTGGACCCTGGTTTGTGGCCTGTTCAATGCAGAGCTTGCACCTAACATCTGCTTAAGTTCCTTCTAGCATTAAAGATTTATATATCAAAATAACCAGAGTCCAGAATTTTGTGATTACAGCATTTCCCACACCAAATTACATATTGCAGGTTCTTTTGGGTTGTTTTCCTCGGGAACACTACTCAGTCGGGTGTGACATTTGAGTCCGGTGTGACCCTAATACAGAGTCAGTATCAATCCTGAAAGAGTTCATTTGGCTTGATCCTCAGTTCATCCTCATTCATATCCAAACATAGTCATGCCGAGGGAAAGAATTATTAATATTCAGTGCCAATAAAACCCTCATAAATCAATAATAAACAATAATCCCAAGTGAGATTTTGTAACTAGCACCTGATCCATTGCTCTAGAGAACTTTCAGGCCACTCTCCTTGTCCCCTGGCACCTCCACTAGAGCCCTTCCCTCTTCCCCAGTCTCTCACTGCTGTGACACGCACGTGTGTATACACACACACACTCACGGGTGGCACGGAGGCAGGAGCATGGTGCTCAGCATATGGCAGGGGCTGATACATGCTTGCGAAATGCTTAAGCCTAGACCCACTCCAGGTGGTGCTGAGCTGCATCCACATCAGCACAAAGGTCAGGGTTCTGGCTGAATTACGTTTATTCCTGCTCTGCCTATGGCTAACCGGGAGCTTGGCTTTATGACTGGTACCTGACAAACCTGTGTCATCTGGCTTAGCACTGATGATCAGCCACATGTATGCAAACGCCCAGCATTTCTTCCTTGACTAATGCTCAGCATAAACCATACACCAAAGGATGCATGAACATGGTATGTGAGCAAGACAGTGTCTGTTCATGTTGGAAGAGGTGAGGACCCCTGTTCTGTGTTTTGACTCACAACAAGGAGTATAAGCACCGGCCTCATGGAGCTGGCCATTAAACACCCACACATGAATGTGATATGCAAGGAGCCTATATCATGGCCAGAATACAAATCAATAGTCGCTGTAGAGGACACCCATTTTTTGTGTGATTTTTTTTCCTTCCTTCCTTCTTTCCTTCCTTTCTTTCTTTTTTTTTTTTTTTTTGAGATGGAGTCTCGCTCTGTCACCCAGGCTGGAGTGCAATGGTGTGATCTCAGCTCACTGCAACCTCTGCCTTCTGGGTTCAAGTGATTCTCCTGTCTCAGCCTCCTGAGTAGCTGGGACTACAGGCACCCGCCACCACACCTTTGTATTTTTAGTAGAGATGGGGTTTCACCATGTTGGCCAGGCTGATCTCGAACTCCTGACCTCAAGTGATCCACCTGCCTTGGCCTCCTGAAGTGCTGGGATTACAGGCGTGAGCCACCACACCCAGTCAAGGACACCTGTTGTTTATCTGTCTCACACTCCCACATCCTTGGGGACCTGCTCCTCCCTCATGTCGATTATGTGATGCTTGAAAGGGCTGCCAATCACAGTAACCAGTTCCCCTGGCTTTGGCCATAATAAATCCAGAGGTGGGCCAATCAGAATCCTTCTCAATGGTTTTTTTTTTTTTTCAATATTGACCTGGAAGAGACAGATTCTAGCCTTTTGGAATGGAGCTATAAAGATGTGAAGGAGAGGCTTCAAACATGGAGAAAAATGTGTTTGCCGGAGGGAAGCATGGAGCCAAAAGAGAGCAAAGCATCCAAGCATCCAAGTTAAGGCCCCAACTTAAAGTGTCTGGACCTTCCTGTTAATATGAGTCAATGATTCTCCGTTCTTTGTGGTAATTTTGAGCTGGGTTTCTGAAAAGCACAGCTCAAGTAGCCTAACACAGTCACAGTTCATACTTACAATCATTCTCAAATGTATCTTCCACTCCTCAGCATTCAGGCGGTTTTTATGAGATGGGTTATCTCACATGTGAAAAATGTCCTTGTTCCTCCTCACAAGAAAGGTATAAAAATTCCTGGGCAAGAGGCACCTTACCCAGCATCCCTAACAAAAGGTGCTTTCTTTCCCTTTGTATCTCAGAAGCCAGTGGTGACCTGCCAACCACAAGATGTGATGACTGTTCTATTTCAAGCTACCAAAGCTTGTAAAATAGAGGCTGGCCACACTGGCTAGGTAACTGGCTAGTACGTTTTGGAAGAAGGGTCTCCTCTTGGTGGTCAGCCCTCCATTCCATCCCTCTACTCACTGACTCCCTGTGACAATCTGTCTTCAGATCACCAAGAGGGTCCCTCAGCAGCCACAGCATGTTGGGCGTATGGGGCAACAGTATTCCCTAATAAAACCAGAGCTCGGAAAACCCTCTGTGAGAGAATATAGTGCAACTGGGCCACCTGACTTTTATGGGACTTTTAAAAAAAAGAAGCCACCATACACAATTACTAAGAGGGGTGACGCTTTGGAAGCTAAAAGCTTCCCCTCCTTTAAATCTGAAAAGCCACCCAGTGAACTCTGAACTATGAAGCCACAACAACGAGGAAGGGAGGCACTGGGCAGGAGCAGCACCCAGGACACTGGTCTCACCTTCTCCTCCCCCTTCCTTTTCCCTACCTCCCCCATCTCTTCTGCCTAGCTGGAGCGTGGCAGGTTATGGGCAGGTACTGCCTGGATGGCTAGCCTGCTCTGGGCTGAGGCGACTGGTCTGTTTCAACCTGATGGAATGCTCTTCCTATGTCCCGCAGTGTCAGTGTGCCCCAGGCTCACAGGAGCTTGGCAGCTGTCTCCCCTGGGGCAGTGGAAAGCAGCATATCCCATGGTGGACTCAACAGCTTCTCATCACCAAAACAAAAACACAACAGTCCCGATTGCCATGGAGAGTTCAATCCTCTTGTCCTGGGATTGGCACCAACTGGAATTCCTAGGGTTCTAGCTGAGCTACCTCCTGTGAGGTCTAAATACAGCACATTTGATTTTAACCTAAACACACAGCCTGAACCAGTGCTCAGGGCTGAGAGCCCCCAACGGCCACCAGGGAAGTCAGCTGAGAAGCCTGCACTCTCAGCTGCCCATCTGGTGGTGGGCATTTCACAAATGTCAGAGAAAGGTTGTGATAGTGAGCCTATGTTCGCCGATGCTGTCTATGGCCAAATGATGGGGGATGCAATCGGTTAGTGTAGGCTTAACTATGAGTGCGGTCCTAGGTAAAGAAATGCATCCTGAGGAAGGGAGTGGGCAGGTGGAGAATGCAGGGGTATCGGGTAGAAGAGAAAGAGACAGGGAGGAAGACCCAGACCTATTTCTTAGCCAATTAATTCAAAACCAGGGGATCTTTCTAAAATGTCCACACGCAGGGGAACACAACTCTCTAACTATGCCTCTCCCTGAGATTTAGGACTTAGGCCCTAGAATCAGACGGACCAAGATTGTCCTCTAGTTGTGTGACCTTGGGCACAACTGACTTCTCAATTTCCCCATCTCTAAAATGGCCTGAAGGACTACTGCAGCTGTTCATGGAAATCATGGCCATAAAGTACCTTGTACCTAGAAGCTGCTCAATAAATAGCAGCTACTAGAAGTGGTAGTAGTGGCAGCAGGAATAATAGAAGTGGGGGTAATATCAAGCATTGGCTTTTCTCCCTCAACTTTGCCTCTGGCTTCCCTCCCTTGGAGACAGCACAAGTGGAGGGAACCTCCCAGCCAGGAAAAGCTGATGCTTCGAGACAAAGGAAACCTTTACCAGAGGAAAACAATGCAACATCACACCCACACCCAAGAACCTTAGAGTGCCAAAATGGCAACAGCTTCCTAACCTCCTAAATGTCAACCCACATGCCCTGCAAAGGTAAGACTAGGAGGGTTTCTCCTTACCTTGGTGTTCATGCACGACTTCCCTCGCTTATACTCTTTGTGGGAACCACGCTTATCCAATTTGTACCACAGGGCTTTGGCTTTCCAGGTGGTCACCTTGGACTTGAGCTTGGAATAAAAATTTCTATGGTCCAGAGGGTCTAGGTCCAGGTGTCGTGTAAGGATGTTGAAGGCCTGGAGGGTACCTTTGCACGTGGATGCCTGGACAAAGTTCTCAAAAACCTGCCCCGCCTGGGCCTGCTTCTCATCCTCGTTTTCCCCCATGGTTCAGGAGTCGTGTGTGGCAGTGGTGTGGCAAGGACACAGGCGAACAGCATGAAGTATCTGGAGAAACGTCACACCTGCGACAGTAGGAGGAGGCAGAGGTCAGCTTTGGACAATGAGGGTAGGGGAGGGGATGGGTGCTGAGAAGTAAAAATACAATTTCTTTAAGACATTCAAATATTAATCATACTATTTAGTGTTCAATACTAAACAAACATTTATAAAAGATATAGAATTGTGCCTTTTGGCCTGTCAATGTGGCATTGCAGATAATCTCTCCCCTATACGCTGCTCCTCTCGCTGGCTGAAAAGTACCACACACTGCACAAGGCTATGCCCTGGCTAATGCCAATAGTACCTGGTCAATCTTGCTCTGAGTCAAGTGGTTCTGCAAACAGTGGCTAGGAAAAGGGAAAAACTCCCAGAAAAGTACACTAGATATAGCACCATTGAAAGTCTATCATTCTTGGTACTGCAAGTTGGCTGGCTGATGTGAATATAACCCAGCCACAATTCACTAATGCACAGACAGAAAAAACTCCAAAGAACATCTCTCTAGATTTCATGACTGCCCACCTCTCCTTAGACACCCAGCTTTAAAGTCTTTCTTCATTAGTTACCAGAGGGCAGGGCTTTCCACTACACACATGACCATCTCTTCCGAAAACTTCTGCTCCTGGTATCGGCTGGGAGCATACCATCTACCTCAGTCAGACTCACAGACAGACAGAGACACGTGGACCTCCTCCGCCTGTGCAAAGGGGGCCTGTGCTTTGTAAGTCCAGGCTGTGAACTATTTGGAACAAGTGCTTCGGCTGATGGAAGGGAAAAATGCGATGGGTGCTCATTCACATCCCAAAAATAGCTTGCCTGGGCTTTGGCCATGGTCCTTTCTGCACCATTCTAACCTCAGACTTTTCTTAGAAAAGTCACTTAAGTTTCAAAGGAACAAAAATAAAGTAGAGCTGATTTTCCAAAGCACTAGCTGTTTTTCCAGAATCCAAAGCTGGCGCAAGGAGACAAATGTGGAGGAGCTGGGGCTGACCCAGCTGTCAGGAGGGCTGGAGGGGTCTCTGAGCAAGAGGACACAGCAGACCGAGCTCTGCCGATGAGGCCTGTAAGGGGAGGTCAGCAACACACAGAGCACAGGCCTCACGGCAGCTCTGCGCTCCCCAGAGGGGCAGTGTTTATCGTGGACAAGTTCGAACAGTGGGATGGTTTTATAATACCAAAAGCAGAGAATGGTGTTTATCTTCCTCCTTAATCTCTTACTTAGTCACTCGGCAACAATTTTTGGTGCATTAGCAAGAGTTGGGCACCACTCAAGGGGCTGGGAATATGTAGGCTCAGGCCCTGCCCACAGGGGAAGACGGATTACAAGACCACAGGCAAGTGCTTGTGGACTATGAACCAAGGGCATGGAAGCCCAGAGCAGGCGGTGTCCAACAGAGCCTTGAGGAGTCCAGAGGGGCCGCAAAAGGGAAGTATCAAGAAAGCTTCAGTTTTAGGAATGAGATTTATTTTACTGGAAGACTGGGCAGTGGACATTCCAGGCCATGGAAATACCCACACAGGGATGTGAGTGTGGGAAGAGCAGGAGAGTGGTGGAATGACAGCACGTTCAAGGTTCAGGATTTGTGAGGAGGTGTGGTGGGGATGTCCAGCGCACATGGTGGCAGATGTCCCCTCCAGGCCAAGGAGGGGGCCTGGCCTCTCCAGTGGGTGGTGAGGAGCAGGAGACAGAGCAGCAGGAAGAGGCAAGTCTTTGGGAAGATGAGAGGGCAGCAGTAGACTGGAGGAGGAGGCTGGAGGCAAAGAGGCAGCTAAGGGGCTGTCCAGGCAGCAATGAGAAGAGGAGCTGGAAGAGAAGGGGGAAGAACAGCACATGCAACGGAGCACAGGAACCCACTGGGCACCACCTGCCAGGAGGAGCCTGCTGGGGCAGGCAAGGTCTCAGACACTGGATGCCCAGACTTGGGGTGAGGGGATCCTAGGGCCCTACCCTCCCTTCCCTCTTTCCCGGAGAGCTGCTGAGGTGCCTGGCACTGAGCTTGGCTGAAGGGAGACTATCACTCATTCCCTGCTCAGGCCTAGCAGCTTTCCTGCCCTACCCAGGCTGGTTCTTCCATGAGGCCTTACCCAGTGACCCTGGTCTATGACACTCAACAACTTAAGTAGACTGAGAAAGCGGGCTCTGTGCCCTGCCTGGTGCGATGAGCATGGATTCCTTTACAGATGCTCCCTGGGCTCTGTGAGCATCCACTCTGCTCACTGGGGCATGACTCACATAAACACTGCCTCCTACTGTGTCTCCACTTTCCCCATGTGCAATGCTTGCCACCCAGAGAGCATAAACAGAAGGCGGGACTCATTTGCTTTGCAGAGCGTATTAACATCCTCAGTCTTTATCTATCTTTGGAACCACTTCTGTGCCCAGCATTGAACAAAGGCTGCAGTGGCTGGCCAACAAACACAAGGCGATTTGAACTTGCTTGCTACACTACAGTCTTTTCTGAGGACAGGCAAGCGGTACAGAGAAAACTGTAAGGCTTCAGAGCTATTGCCTCACACAAGCCACTTCTGATTCTCAGTTTCCCTACTGTAACAGACAAATTATAATCTCCTCCTTGCAGGGTAGCTGTGAAGGGCAAGAAATGTGGATGACGGCAGAGCCGGGTCCCGGGAGGCACTCAGTAGATGTGGTAATGCACGCTGCATCCACGCGGGAGGCAGATTTGTACCTGGGGAAATGTACCAGTTTAGAAAATAGTTTTGTAAATCAGTTCTCCAAGTTGCCAACTCCTCCTTGTCTAAAATTATGAACAGTTTAGAGGCATCAATTCAAACGATAATTTACAAACTGGAAGAAGCTGTCTCCTCTGCACCCCAATGGCCACCCCTCCTCCTCCAGAAGAAGAACGAACAACTTCGTCTTCAGGCTCCAGTGGAAAAAGAGCTAAAGGTGGTGCTGAGGGCTAGATAGGCGTGGGAACTCCAGGAACCAGCCCTTATCTAGAATGAGAGAAGGGGAGGTGGAGGGAGATGGTTCGACAGGAGAAGATAAGCGCAGCTTGGATGTGTAGCCCAGCAGCCCGTACCAGGCTCAGACTTGCCACCCTGGATCTAAACACCCATTTCACTCTTTACAACTGGCTTTCCAAGTTAGGTCATAGACCTTAAAAATGACTCTAACACCCATGACGGGTAGCTTTCCTCACGGGATTAACATCAGAATATTTCGAGTCAGGACAGCCTGAGTATGAATCTGCTCTCAAGCACTTGCTAGTTGTGTGACCCTAGGCAAGTTGTCTCATCCGTCTTGGCCTCAGTTTTCTCATGTGTGAAATAGGGATAATACAGGCTTCCCTCAGTATCCATGGGAGATTGGTTTCAGGATCCCATGCAGATACCAAAATCCATAGATGCTCAAGTCCCTTATATAAAATGATGTCATGTTTGCATATAACTTACACACATTCTCTCTTAATACTTTAAATCATCTCTAGATTACTTATAATACCTAACAGAAGTTCTATGTAAATAATTGCATTGCATTGTTTAGGAAATAATGACAAGAAAAAAGTCTGTACATATCCAGTATAGATGAACCATCTGTTTTTTTTTTCCCCCTGAATATTTTCAATCCACAATTGGTTGTATCTGTGATGTGCGACCAATGGATATAGAGGGCCACCTGTTCTCCTCACTTCATAGAGCTCTAAGGAATCAGTGAGATCACGTATGCAATAACCAATACTCATTATGATTCTTCAAACAGCCCGAACATCATCATATCAAAAGGAAAGGCAAAAGAAACATCATTCAAGACTACTGAGACTAGCTTTCTGGGTCAAGGAGTTATATACAGGTTGAGTATCCCTTATCCAAAATGCTTGGGACCAGAAGAGTTTTGGATTTCTATTTTCTTTCTTTCTTTTTCGAATATGTCCATCATACTCACTTGATTGAACATCCCAAATCCCAAAAATCCAAAATCCAGAAGACTCCAATGAACACTTCCTTAGAGCGTCATATCAGCACTCAAAAAGCTTCAAATTTTGGAGCATTCCAGATTTCAGTTTAGGTATAGTCAACCTGTACACTTTAAAACTAGAGTGTCCCTAAAGGCCTTCCATTTAGAAGATCTGAGTTCAAACTCACTTCCTCTCTGTGTAGACTCGGACAAATAATTTATCTTTTGGGTTTTAGTTTCCCATGTGTAACTAGGGAACTTCATAGAAAGTAGTTTTGGTAATGAACTGAAAACATACAGTATTCAGGATAGTGTTGGGAATGAACTGGGAAGGGCTGACCTACCACTCAGAAGGACTCAGTGAGTCTGAGCTTCAGGTCTTTCTTCAGAGAACTGGGGTGCAAAACCTTTGGTGGCTATCCTTCCTCTCACCCCAAAAGAAGGTAGTCAGGAATTTTTTTTAAATCAGAGGACCCTGGATAACTAGCTCTTATTAAAGTTTTCCTTGTTAACCACCACCCAGCTGTTGTCTTTTTGAGGTTTGATATGCAACAGAAATAAAACCAACTAGACAGAAATATGAGGGTTTCTGTATTTTCTGGGAAGAAACAAGAAGTGATGCTTTAAGTTTCCAAGAATAGCCTTGAAGCAATTTGGTTTTTGCCAAGTGGAGTCTCTTATTTGTGGTTCTTCTGTCCCCTGCCTATGTGACTTCATGAGTCACAAAGCAATTTCCTTTCCCTGCCTCTAGCTGCTAAAAATTAAAATTTAGGGCCCCAGATTGCAGGCAACAACATTGGTAATGGGCTAAGCCCACTAAATCTGAGAGTTAAGCTCAAGGTTTATGTAGAGTCCCTGAGCACCTCTCCAAATGAGAGGAGGGGCCTCCCCATCCCAGTCTGCAGGTGCCTCAAAGTTAGGACTCCCACGCCTCCTGCCTTCCCCGAGCCTTTTCTCCCAAACGGCATATCAGACAGTGTAACCAGGCTTTCGATAAATGATGGAGTTTATACAAACTTAAGGAGAGATAGGGGTGGACACTAGGCAGAACCTTCCCACAAAGCAGCAGTTTGGCCCAGGAGAAAAGCTCATTCTTCAACCCAC